GAGGGGAAGGGATGTTGTTATCACCTGGGGGACTTACGGGAGAAATGTTGTTATCACCTGGGGGACTGAGGGGAGGGGATGTTGTTATCACCCGTGAGACTTACGGGAGGGATGTTGTTATCACCTGGGGGACTGTTTAGGAATGATATTGAATTGATATCGCTATGAACTAAACCTACGCGCTTTAACCAAATCAAGAATGATTCAAAACAGCTCCGTCTACCTCCTTGTTTGGAATTGTCATTCTGGCCGTAGCGCAGATAGCAATGCAAGAAAATTTATATAAATTTATCCTTGGGATCTAGAAATCCCATCTGGTACAGCTAGTGAGGTTTTCCTCCAATCTTCATTGTAGTCTCATTTTACTTTCTCAGTGGCTGACTTTCCATGTACTTCGATTCCTTCTCCGTTCACTACAGCTTACAATAAACGTCTACCGTAAATTATACGGCGTACTGCAAATCTCTTTTTCTATATAAGAGTTTGTATTTTTGTTTTCATAATTTATTTAATTTTTGTCTAGTTAAGAGTAAAGATTGATATTTGTCAAGTCCTTTMTATGCGGTTAACTCAAGCGGCCGGTCGATCCTCGAAGTGAGTATGATCTTGCAGTATAACGCTCTCTTACACGACGAAGGATTTTCTTTCTTTTTATTTATCTTTTATTGTATTCATACCGCATAGTAGTAAGGAACTGAGAACGCTTCCAATCGATTGGYTCAAGGGATGATTAACAGTATACATTTTAAAAAGTGACACTTGCTCATGCACACTATGCTCACTGTAAGATTAAAAGTTGTTTTTCAAGCTGGAGCTCATGACGATTCTTAGGGAAATCGAGGATAACGCCKAGCAGAAAAGTTGTGTGCACGTATGGCTAGGGTTATATTTATCTCAGGAGTATTTGCCGCCCTTGTTCATGTTCCGTGGATCGATCGAATGGAACATAGGCTCAGCGGCGCAGTTGTTTTGGTCAAGACCAACACGTACGATCATCCATTTAAGCTATAAAACATCTGACATACCCGCAGAGCAGAATTAGCTTGACTTCCTGTCTATTTTTAAACTGAGATAAATCGATTCGTGATAGAAAATAAAGTCTGCGTGTCTGTGAGGTG